CACGCTGATCATTTGCTTTCAACTGAGCTGTAGTCATTTTGGTCTTTTTCTCCCCAGGACATAGAACCAGAGCTAAGGTCTCAGAACTTCTTTTTTTTTTTTGCTTTTTTTTTTCTTTTATTTCAACATATTATGGGTCTCAGAACTTCTAATGAGCCTACTGGAAAAATACCCAAATGGCCTGTGGTAGCAATAGCTTAACACAATGTGCCACAGCTCGAAAGGCCAAATTAAATTCTGTTAACATTCAGGGTTTTAAATTAAAGATGTATTTATTGGAGCGAGAAAGACCTTCCAGTGCCTTCTGCAGGATGTGATGATAGAAAGGGAGCTTGTTTCTCGTGGGCATAGCTCACCGGAGGTTGATAAGTAAGAAGCTGAGGCTAACTTTTTATTGGTTCTCTGCTTTTTTTTGGTTTAAGATGCCAGAAACTTAGCCCCCCTCCCCCTTCCTTTTAGTATAATCTTAACTAGCACAATGTTGCTAAAGAAGCACAATGTTACTTTTGCTTTCGCAGAAGTTCCTGGAGCTTCCTCTCCCTCCCACATTTCACAAGGCAAACTAACACAATGAGAACAAAACAAGCGCCTGTGTCCTCTCTTTGTGAAAGTGAGTATCAGTACAAACTTTGTGCAGGCCAATTGGGGAAAATGTATCAAAGGCTCTTAAAATAAAAACTTTTGGCCCAGTGATTTTACCTCACCAGCTTCCCCTAAGGAAATAATAGACAAGTGAACAAAAATGTCCAGAGACACTTTGCAAATAATGGGAAAAACAGAAGGCAACTAAATATTGAGTAATAGAAAGTGCATTAAATTAGGATATATTCATTAAATTGACCACTGAAATACTGTGCAGGCATGAAGTAAAAATGTAGCTGGATATTTATTCACATACAAAGATGTTATTATTGTTACATGAAAAAGCAAGTTTCAAAACACCTTGAATTCATTCTGGAAAAAAACATATTTAGCAGAAACTGAAGTCTAGAATTTACACCAAATACAAACAATAGTTATCCTTGTAGATGATATTATCTGTAGAAATACAGATAATTATTTTTGCCTTATTTGTATTTCTAATATTTCTGCAATAAATTCATATTATTTGTTTAATAAAAATAATAAAATTTAGGCTGCTTCAGGCCTCACTGCCATTGCTCCACTATCTCCACTTAATAACAATAGTGTTTACTTTGGGCCAAGTACTCTGTTCAGAACTTCTCCACGTTGTCTCATTTGATCCTCAAAGCTACCCCTGAGGTATGTGCTTCTCAATTTACAGATGTTAGGTGACCATTTATTGCCAAGGCTGGTGAGGTCTGCGGGACATTGGGTTACACATAGGTGTCTTTTCTTCACTGCAGTCAATGAACTCATTCTGAGCCGGTCCTATGTTCTAATCACTCCTATATCCCCCACAGGCCTTGCACAGGGTGGAAGAAATTTCCAGTCTCCACTTCAATGCCCCAAATTACCCTCATGTCAACCTCTGAAAGGCTTTTCCTTGGAGAAGTCTTCCCAGAGCCCCATGCATGTCCTTGTTCCTCAGGCTGTAGATGAAAGTGTTCATCATGGGGGTCACCACGGCATACATCACTGTGGCTACTGAGTCCTTCATGGAGTAGGTGTGCAGAGGCTGCAGGTACACCATGCCCAGTGTCCCATAGAAGAGGGAGACCACAGCCAAATGGGAGGCACAGGTGGAGAAGGCTTTGTACTTCCCAATGGCTGAGGGTATTTGGAGGATCGCTCTGATGATGCAGACATAGGATGTGATCATGAACCCTAATGGGGTGAGGAAGATGAAGCATCCAGTGGCAACCAGCACTGTGTGATTCACTTGGATGTTGGAACATGCCAGCCTCAGCAGGACGTACATCTCACAGAAGATGTAGTGGATCTTTCGGGACCCATAGAAGGTCACTGTGGTCATGAGGAGGGTGTGGATGAGGCCATAAAGGGCAGAGAGCACCCAACACAAGATGAGGAGCAAGATACAGAGCTTAGGGTTCATGGCTGTGATATAGTGGAGAGGGTGGCAGATGGCCGCATAGCGGTCATACGCCATCACGGCCAGGATGAGGTTGTCCAGGGCCACCAAGGAGACCAGGAAGTAGAGTTGTGTCAGACACCCTGCGTAGGAGATGGCTTTGTTCTGGGACTGAAGGTTCACCAGCATCTTGGGGATGG